GAAAGGGGGTCGGGGAGCGGAGGTTAGAGGTGAGGGAAGGGGATGTGGTAGTTGCCGCAAGTGTGCAGGGAGGGAGGACGCCCGTTGCCGCGCCGTTATCCTCCCACGGTTGTCGTGGACTCGCGGATCTCAGCCGGATTTGGCCAGAGGAGGGGACACTACGGCGAGGCGGTGGGAGTGCAGGCAGCGCGGCCGGTTGAGGGGAAGCTGGGCACGGCGGGGAGGCGTCAGAACAGGAGGATGTGTGCACGACGGGGAGGAGCCAGGAGGGGAGGAGGTGGGTACGGCGGGCTGGCGGCATGAGAGGAAGAAGGTGGGTTGGTGCGGCGTGGGGGCGCTGGTCACGGGCAGAGATAACGCGTGGGTGGGCTGAAGAACAGTCAAGAAAGAGGGGAAGATTTGCTAGCCGTCGGATCTCGGAGGAGCAGACGGTTTAGATGTGCGATCCGTGGAAGGGTTTGGTCAACCAATCACAACGCGAGTTTTTCGCTCACACTGGATCGCCACATCAGCAGGGGGCAGGGGCAGTCCGTTTCCTAATTAAAAAAAGAAGGAGCAGCAGTCCGTCACGGCTTGGACTACGTTAAAAAGCCCTACTAGTCCTTCTATGAGTTTTTAGTCACCGACCATGACGGTTTTACATAATACAGTTGGACTATGTTGATTTCCATATAAATGAAATTGAAAATTTATTTATATATTTTTAAATTAACATGAATTAATATTTGGAGTCACATATTATATATAGGTATATAGAGAGATGTTGTGTACGAGTGCAAATCTTTATCTCTGCTAATTTTTTCTTGCAAATTTATATTTGCAATCTGTCACACCAGTTAAGTAAACTTGAATTAAATTTTGAAGTCGTGAATTTTATTTATTTATATATATATATATATATATATATATATATATATATATATATATATATATATATATATATATATATATATAGTTGTTGTGTACGAGTGCAAAGTTTTATCTCCGCAATCTGTCACACCACGATTTCTTGACCAACACGTATGGACTATTCAAGTAGGTGAGAGGCGCACGGTTTGATCCATGGCACACCTTTTTTTTACTAAAACTTTTATTGTAGATGCATTATCAAAAGGAAAACGACCTAATGCTCCTTCAACCATGCTATACATACGACAAATCACGTACGAATTATATCTGATAGAGCAGATCAAACCGTATGTCAGTTGGACTCTAAGTCCAACAATGTCTGGATGTTGCATCGTATCAAATCGGACAAGTCATGCTCGTACATGTAGTAGTTTCGATGCTCCTTTAGTCATGTGGGTAGGAGTGTTGTCACGCACTAGTCTCTTAACTCACGAGGTCTTGGGATCAAGTCTTGATTGCATTCTTTTTATTAAAATTTGAAATCTACGGATTTCAGGAAAAAGACAAAAAACATATGGGCTTCGTTGGATTTCTGGGCACATTCACATATTACTTATCGATGACGGTTTCCGTGACGGATGAGAGAAAATCGTCATATACTGTGACGGATTTTCAGAACGTCATCACAAATTTGTCATGGATTAACAGGTTTCTTTTAGTGCCAGAGAGACCTACTGAAATGGAAACACCCTCTCATCAAAGTGAACATGTCTCGACGTGATCACACGATGAGAGACGGGATCATAGCACCGGTGGCCCTGTGTGTTGGCAGGGTATCCAAGGAAGATGCATGAAAGACAGCGCGGAGCGAGCTTATGCGGAGTGGTAGAGGCAATGCTAGGGTCGCAAAGACACCCAACAACTCGAAGCTCGTCATAGGACTGTGGAGTGCCATATAAGAGATGATGTGATGCATAATTCCAACGAGTCCGGCATGGTTGGATATTAAGAAGAAGAGATGTCGTGGCAAGAGTATTTGACCAAAAACGGGACCGTGGAAGACAAGTGTGCAAACGGAATATTAAGAGTGCGAAGAACACGTTCGGCGTGACGATTTTTGTTGCAAAGTATAGGGGCTAGTAAGACGAAATATAGTACACACATGTGTGGTGAGTAGGGTACGTACGGCGAGATTATCAAACTCTTCTCATTATCAGTTTGGAGCGCATGTATGAAACAAGATCAAAACTATTGGATTCTTGCAAAATGTCATGGCTGAATAAACTAAGCTCGCTCCGCACTGTCTTTCATGCATCTTCTTGCAAAACTATTGGCTTCCCGCAAAAAAAAAACTATTGGCTTCTTGCAAAATGTCATGACCAAATAACATTTGAGGAGCCCTCACAAACAAAGGTAGGAAATACTCTGATATCTTGCCATTATAAGGACTAGCAAATATGCCCGTGCGTTGTAACGGGAGACAAAAAATTATGCCTAACCAAACAAGTATTACTCAATATCCTTATATATGAGCGTACTCTATTTTAACATAGTGGTTCACCATGTTGCCATTTTTTTCTCACCCTAGCCGATGATGGCCGCGATGTTTACGTGATCACAATGCACTCGACATGATAAATCCCAAGGCTATGAGTTTGCCAGTGCATGCTACACTTGTCATTATGTTGCGCAAGGAAACGTTTAAAACTTTAAAAACAAATCTCATTGACCACAAACTACTCCCAATGCCAAGACATATAAAGACTTTTGAAAAACTAATCAAATCCTAGACTTAAAATACTTTTGAATCAGTGAACAGTTTTTCGAATCGACAAATTTTTATTGAAATTTTTTATTTTCTCAAAAAAAATAATGAACATTAGTTCTGTTTACAATTTTTTTGAATGTATGAACCGGTTTCGTATTCATTAACATTTTTTGAATCGATTTTTAAAAAAAATTGGGAAAAAATTAAAAACACATTTATTTATTATTATTATTGTGAACATTTTCTAAAATTTCATGGACATTTTTTTTTTCAGATTCCCGAATATGTTTTGAATACATGATCATTTTTTCAAAATCATGAACTTGATTTTATTTCCTGACCATTTTTTACAAATTGTGATTTTTTTATAATTTTGCGAACAGTTTTGCAAAACCACCAACATTTTTTGAACTGCAAACTTTTTATGATTTTCTAAACAATTTTTAATTCACATATATTTTATGATTTTTTTATCAAACTCGCAACTTTTAAAATATTAAAATCCGGAATTAATTTAAAGAAGAAAGAAAACAGAGTGAGAAAAGAAAAGACAAAAATGTAAAATGAAAATAAACAGGGGAGTGAAACCCCGCACATGGGCCGGCCCATGAACGCATAGCATGAGAAAAGAAAGATAAAAATTGTGGAAGTTGGGGATCGAACCCTGGTCTCCCCGCTAAAAGAGCGATTAGCCAACCACTCTGATACTCATTGTTCTATAATCTATGCTCGTCGCGCCGCTATAAAACAATGAAGGAGGCGTTGATTTTTGTCCGAAAAATCGAATCATTTTTTCATTTATGGGTGGCATTGGTGGGTAATTTTAACCAAGTTGAAGGATAATTTTAATGATGGACGACCAGAAGCAATAGCCGCTTTATTATACTATACTAGGAAACAATGCCCGTGCGTTGCAACGGGAGAAACAATCCACCCACATGACCATGTGATTTGTGAACGCATAGCACGATATTCTATAAGCTGAAATAAAAAGATAAAATAAGCAAAGCTAGAGGATTTACATACATCTCTAGTGACAAGATTAATTGTGCAAAGCAAAAAAGGATAGCAATGTATCAACGGACTTAGCTTGATGCCACATCAATTCACATGTTCGAAGTTTGATCCTCAAACGGACCAATCTTGAAAATATTTTGTTGTTGAATAAATATGAACCGAAGGAATCAAACATATAAAATAATTCTAAACAATTAAGAATCTACAATTGACACATAATCGTGGTGCTAATAGCAAAATGGCCATTTTCTTAAACAAATTTTAAAACCAAAGATATTAAATGGGAAACTTCTGGCTTCTGAGATAATGAAACTGGGTCTTCTCATGCAGCTCAAGTACATCCTTACCTTCTCATTTAGAACCTGAAAGCTGAAAAGAAGCAAAAAAGAAAGTCAAATTTGTGGTCACTGAAAACATTAACAATGTAAACCAAAAATACAGTCTTCGCACGACTACCTTATCAGAGAACTTTTATATATTTGAAGGTGTGTCTAGAAGGCAATTAATTAAGTCTTAACTGATGGATTGCGTTTTATCAGAAAAATGGTTTTTTCAATCAGCAAATGATGAAAAAATGCATCCTATGCTCCAAATGGAAGGTAAACGCTGCATTTTGGAGAAAACAACATTCTAAACATGTTAAGAAACATGAATATAAGCAAAATCAGGGAAATTATTAAAGATGATTTTACTATTCTTGGAAGCAAGATAAGTTCGTTCGGATGTTGTCGAATTCATTTATTGTCCAACATTATAGTGTTACTAACATGTCTACACTATTAACTAAAATGCTAACTAAGTGGCAACTATTCTGTACCTTGCAGTTGTGTTTTCTAGAGCTCACTGATGACAAGGGAAACAACACACGTGACAGGAGGAGGGGGCAGGGAGCAGCATAGGAACTTATAGCGAAAGCGGAAGGCATGGCAATTCTGGGCAGCATTCATGGTGCTGTTGGAAAACATGTGAGTGCAAGCATGATATTGAAGGTGCTATGCCACTGCATCTATTTAATAAAATGTGCAAAGCTAATTAACCTTGAAAGATCCGCTTGGCTAATTAACCTTGAAAGATCCGCTTGTTGAGTTCATCCTCTACATATCTATACACGAAATTTATTCACGTAAAAATCCATTTTCTTTAACACCGAAAGAATCATAAAAATTGGTTGACTTAAATGCAATATCACAATAAAATGGATCTGATGAGAAAGAGGAAAGGTGGATCGCTTTGCTTACCCGACGAAGACGGATGATGAACCCTGCGTCGAGGCGTTGACATGGCCTTGTGTAGGCTGGCGATGCGGATTTGTCTTCCCACACCCACGTACAGGCCGGAGCTCTCCCGTCGCGTCGCTGGTGGGGCTTCAGTAGACGACGTCGTCAGCCTGCTCATAAGAATGATTTCTGTCAAGTCATGAACAATTGTCTGAAGTGGATTTCAAAGTTCAGTTTGTACAGAAAAGCCATGCAAGTACCTTGGGGGTAGAATCTTCTATAACGTATACTGAATTGGAGTTCAGCTCTGATATAGCGAAAGGCGGCTGCGACTCGGTGTGCAGATACCTTAAACCTTGGGCGATGCTGATGGCTATTTTCATTCGTTTGAGCAAAGAGAATTGGGCCTCTTCTCCATCTAAAGGAAGAAAACAAATGAGATCAAATTACAATGCACAGAATATGCAAAATATTTCTGTCGTAACGAAATTGAAGAGATAGACTTACGGTGTAGGTGCTCGTACAGGGTCCCATTTGATGCGTACTCAAAGAGTAACATCCTCGAGAATGGGTCACTCTCTCTGCAATAGCCCAGAAACTTTGCTATGTTCTCATGACTCAACCTTGCCAGATCATAACCTCCAATGTTCATCCCATTTTATTTATTTATTATTTGAGTTAAAAGGTGTTTCTGAGTCACAATTTTAGACAAACGAACTACATTGTTTTGGTAAAAGAGCTCATGCTCGCTAGTCCAATGACCTTCAAAGGCACATAATGATATGACAAAAACCTCAGGTCCATCCTTCATTGTTCCTTTGTAGACTACAATCTCCGGAGTTGAGCCAATTATGGTGCTAAAATCCTCACGCGCTACTTTAAGTTCCCGGCGACTCAACTTTGGCAAACTTTTCAGCATATCAGAATCTGAGGAAAGCATGAACGCATTAGCAACAATATATGTTAGACAAAATAATCAATTTGTTTGGGCAAAATTTGTATTAGTAAACGTAGGAGTTTGATCCGATTCTAACATAGGTGCAGATATGCCGAAGCTCAACCAATTGTCTAAAGTTTGTTTAGTGAATCAAATGAGCGCCCTACTACATTATAGCAATATACCTTTTTAGAAGGGGGGGGGTATAGTAATATATCTTAAAATGATTGTACTTGATAATTGGGCATGTCAAAACAGTACAGTGTATAATAAATGGAGAAGGAACTAAATGCATCATATATATGAATCAGAAGGCTGCATTGAGGCATTTTTTAAAGCAATCTTGCAGGACATACTAACCACAATCAGTTTCCGTATTATTCTTCAGAGATGCACATAATATAGCATTGGACATCAAATAAATCTGAACAAAGCAAATAAAAAAGTACAACCAAAGCAGGTCGATTGAGAATTGATTAAGCTGTAAATATCATGTGAGAAGTGAAACTGAGAAAATCTCATATACAAATAAACAGCAGTAAATCTGTATTGTAATAAACTAACCATTTGCATTTGTGGTGACTGGTGGGTGATTGACCACAAAAACTGTAACATGACTCCCTTAGGGTAGCAAAGTGTGTCAGTGGATCTGATGGCCTTAGGGGAAAAAATGGTCGCAAATGATAGCAAATTTAGTCCGTCTAACACTTCTAAGCTTCATGGATAACAAACTGTTCAAGCAGCAGTCTTGAAATCTGGTGGCATATAACTGCCAATCATAATCCATGAAGAATTTCTAAAATTTAGCTTATTCTGAACATTTTTAGTTACCCAAGAGACATTCAGCAAGTAACAGAGGGCATGCATACTATGTAATCTAGGGACATATTTTATCTAAACATTTCCTTAACTACAATGCAAAATAAGCACAACTTCATCAAAGAACAACGTAGCGAAATAAGAGATGCACATAATATAGCATTGGACATCAAATAAATCTGAACAAGCTGCAAGAAGCGTACCTGCATGAATGTTGTAGCAATCTGGTAGGGACATCACGTACACTACGAATCTGCAGCTCCTCCTCTCCTGCGGTGGTTAGATTTTTTCGATAACTAACAGATGCCTGAACCACGGCGGCCTTGCTTGCCTATGTGCGCACCCGAATCATGTAAACGTGTGCGACAATCCGTCAGGAAGGAACAAACCATCACCGGGCAGCGGATTCCTATCAAAATAGTGAGCGATCTGACAGAGGTATACATAAAGGCTACAATAACCAACATGAAGGCCGAGGTTGGACGTCAGGCCCCTGCTGATTATAACTGAAGCGGTGCAGATCCTCTGGAAGGCAAGCCAAAGGAAGAGCACAAGTTCGCTAGGGAGGAGTGGCTGGGACTGCCGAGACACAACAGATCGTGAGGAGCAGTTACGGTCGTTGGGGCAGGAGCGCCGCCACCATGGCACTGAGATGCCGCTGCAGAGAAGCGACAAGAGGGGATACATGAAAGGTTTCTATGGCCGGCAGCACAGAACTGTGGCAGCTGATTTTGCTACAGAGTTAAGAAATCTGAATGACTGCCTACAAGAACATGAGTTGCATCCTCGTATGATTTATTCCATGAACCCAATCCAATTTCTTCACTCCATCCCTACAGACAACAAACATATTGTAATGCATATATTGAGACCTGAGAGCTAAGATCGAAGAAGAATCGAAACAAAACAATTAAAGTTCCTCCAACAAAGAACTGAAGCGAAGCACGACAACAGAGCAGTGCCAAAATCCAAAACGTGAGCAATGGCTTTTCCAAGTAAAATAGCATGTGTGGCATGAGGGAGAGGGTGGGTATTGGAGGAACCTTGCCGGATCCGGTCATGGCGACGAGCCGCTGGGTGCAGTGGCAGGAGTACTGAGTTGGAGATGCCGGTGATGTGGAGTCGAGGCCTGGGCGGCGCAACAGATGACGTCAAGGCGGGAGATGTGAGAGGAGGAATACCAGGGAGGCAGTAGCAACGGCGTCGGATCCCCCTGTCTCCCGCGGTCGTCCGTCGTCGCCCGGCTCCGGCGAGCTCCTGCCTAGGTCGCCGCACCGTCCCTCCTTTCTTCCTTCTCCTTCCCCTCACCTCCCTGTCTCCTTTCGCCCGGGAATCCACGATCCGGCCTTCGTCGTCGTCACCGGCGACCCCCGCCTCGCCGCCCGCCTCCGGATATGCCTCCCCAGCCCCTGCCGCTCATGAATCCGGCCCTTGCAATCTCCAGCCGCCGCCTTCGCTCGAGCCACCGCGCCGCCCCCAGCCGCTCGAGCCACCGCGTTGACCCGATCCAGAAGCTGGGCTGAGCGGCGGCGCGACGGCGGGTCGAGTTCCGGCGGAGTCCGGCGGCGCGCGGCGGCGTTGCAGGGCGTGGCGGCGCCGGAGGTGGATGAGATTGGGGTTCATGGATCGTTCGTGTGGCTAGTTTTTTTTCTTTCCAGGGGGACCGCGGGTTGAATTCTCAAAACGGCAGGGTTCTTTTTGTAATAACGAAACGTTTTCTGAGATAGCAACTTAAAAAGGCACTGCGGGTTGAATACTCAAAAACGGAGGGTTTTTTTTGCAAAAGTGACGACGACGGACGCTCCGTGCTTTATTAGTAATAGGGAAAGATATATATATATATAGTATATAGTATATAGGTAAAGGTAAAGATAAAGATAAAGATTGAGGAATAGGACCGCCTCGGCAAAGTAGAGGGCCGCGTGACAAACTAGGGCTCTCGTTATTTGTTGAGAGCCTGTACGGCGGTTGGAGCCTGACCAGCCCGTTTATCTTGTTCGAGATTGGCAGGCTAATCCCCAGCCCAAATATATCTCTGCCAGCGAGAAACACCGATCTACGGACGCTCCTGGGACGGATCGAGAGCTCCCACCCGGCGACCATGGCAGATTCTGCAAGAGCAAGATCGACGCGTCTCCACCAAGGCCTTCCGGAGGAGACCGTGATATGGGAGATCCTAGTCCGCCTGCCCCCCAAAGCCCTCCTACGCTGCCGTGATGTCTGCCGTGCATGGCGCCACGCCACCTCCACCCGCAAGTTCCTCCTCGCACACCACGGCTGCCAGCCAACCGTCCCCCTCCCCTCCGAACGCAAATACATATACTGCGGCGACCGCCAATACCAAAACATCACCACCTTCGACAATTGGGCCGCCGACGCCCAGGTCCAACATGTCGCCCGGGTCCAGCTTGACGACACCATCCGTTTGGATGCCTCCTGCGACGGCTTCCTCCTTTTCACTGACAAGACTGGGGCATGCTTCTCCATCTGCAATCCGGCCACCCGTGAGCATGCTCGCCTGTCCATGCTTTCTTCCTTCGTGCCATTGGGAATGTACCAACACCGCCCGACAGGTGAGTACCGGATACTGATGTACCTGAAAAATTGTAATCCAGAAAACGATGACTTCTACATCTTTGCATTGGGCTCGGTCCAGAAGCCGAGGAGCATCGGGCGGTCGACGGAGAAAGGGACTTTCCATGGGGAAGCTGTCCTACTCCATGGTAGTCTGCACTGGCACATAGAGAAACATGAGAGCAACATTATAATGGTATTAGACACAATAGCCGAGTCGTTCCGCAAGATGTGTGCTCCGGTTGTTCCAGACCACGCTGAGATATGTGGCATACTCGGCATGTCCAACTTTAATGGCGACGAGAAAATCATTGATCTGTGGATGATGCAGGATTATGAAAGCGAGGTTTGGGCCTTAATATATCGGGTTGAATTGCCAGTTGCATGCATATCTCAATGCGAAGTTTGGAAAATTGTCGATAGTTGGAGTGTGGTGGTAGACTCTTGCGATGGTGATGTGCTCGTGTTGGTAAGATGTGAGAAGTGGCTACGTCACTTTGATATCAGAGTTCTTTTACAGTACCCAAAAATAAATATGAGCCATCCATTTACTTAAATCCAACGGAAGTGTTTGGTACTCCAGTATAGATACCCGGGAGTACCACGACCAAGAGTTCGGGAGTACCTTGATTTGAGGGGTAAATTGGTAATCGAGATTGATAAAATATTGTACTACGTGAATTTGTTATTTACTCCCCGCTAATTATGGGTACACGAGAGAATGATGCATAATTCTCCAGTAATTACGGGATGGGATAGATATCCATCTGCGTGACTACCCTGGGATTTCGGCCAGATATGCACAATCCAAAAGGAAAGCAAGACGGTGAACATTAAGAAATAATTGCTTTAAAACATGTAACTGCTTGGTCGACTCGATCTGAGAAGATAAGTATGATTTGTGGAGTAGCCTGATCAAGCGGATGTTGGAGAGGCCTCGCCGGCGACGAAGGTTGCAATTAAGTTTTCATCTAGGCGTGTTGGTGGCGGTAGATGCATGCAGCGTGGCTCGAGGAAGGAGGCAGCCATGGCCGTGCGTGGTTGCTCAATCATGGAAGCCGTAACGAGTGCTTGTGAGAGACTTCGGGAGGGAATTAGAATAGAGATTTAGAAAAAAAATACACTTACATCGGCGAGACCAAAAGTCTAAAGTACCCTTTTGAACGAAGGGTTAGATTTTACTGGTATTCCTTCCTCTCCCTACGGAGTACCAGGGTACAGTAAAAAAGCTCTTATATCAATGGCAAGTTGATGGCCAATTACCATCGTAAAGGTCTCCGTCTTTCTCAACATCGACTCAACCAAACTCTAGTTCCACATACCTTCTTTCCGACTCTAGATGGTTATTCTGTGAAGCGTTGGCCTTTCATCTGAATGATTTTGAATGAGTTGGCGCTTCTTAACAGTCTATGTATCCTTATGATTTTCAATATGTATGGATTGGGTCCACTTAAGCCTATTGACATATACAAAG